AAAGTAACCAGAAGCTTGATAGATTATAGGCAGTTGCTACAAATATAATTGTCAGAAGCATCTTGCCAAGAGCTGTTTAATCTGGATTGCAAAACTCCAGTTGAACCAGTAGAGGGTTGCAAGGAGCAGGCATTTTATTAAGGTTCTCTTTGCTGCCCTCTTATGGTTCTCTTAAGTTTTACATCTTCTTGGAGCATCCTCTGTCAAGATGATATTTCAAGCATTCCCTCTTCCAGATGTGTCCTTTGAATGGAAATGAGAAGAGCAAGGGAAGGGCTGCCCTGGTTTTGCCCTGCCCCTGGACACCAACAATGATTAGAAATTAGAAACCTAAGCAGTTTCTTAGTGATGTTTGCAAAATAAACTGACAACCAATGGAGGTCAACCAACTCTTTTGTGGGGGTTTGTAGCCTACACCGAAGCATACATGAAATCATCCAAGCTGGGGTTGCATCACATAGCAGGTGAAAATGGAACTGTTTCTCCTCCTCCGAGGATTGGAAGGGACCTTGGAGGTCTTCTAGTCCAACCCCCTAATCAGACAGGACACCCTATACCATTTCGGACTAATGGATGCCCAGTCCCTTCTTAAAAACTTCCAGTGATGGAGCACCCACAACTTCTGAAGGCAAGCCGTTCCACAGGTCGATTGATCTCAATTACCTTTCATTTTTTTCTGTATTAAATTGGGAGTGATCTTGCACTTCTAAAAAAAAAAAAGCAACAACAACAACAACAAAAAAACCAGCACAAAAGGAGATTTCGGAAAAAAATATCTGCTCAGTCGCAAAATATTTGATTAATGGGCAGACAGTTCCCCTGGGTCTCCATTTCGGCTCCCGAGAGATTCTGCCTTGATTTGCAGAAATCAAACAGGTGAAACGGTGCTGCAGATAAGCATAATCTGTGGGTAAAGACTGCAGAAGGGAAAAAACTGCTCTTTCAGGTATAGGAGGAGGAGATTTTAAAACAGTTGACAATCCTGCTTTCCGAGCAGGAACGCGGGCTTCTCAATCATCAAGGAAAGTTCATGCACGCATGCCAAGCCTTCTGGGCTCGGCCCTTCTCACAAAAGGTGATTCTGCAAAAATCAGCTGCTTAGCTCTGGGTAGCAGGAAGACTACCTACACTGGTGAAGATCAAAGAATGTTAGTCTTCTTGGATCGTCTGCCTTTCAGATGTGGTGGATTTTGCTTCCCAGCTTCCCAACCGAACAGAATTTGGTGATGGTGAGATACACAGAATAACAGGGCTGGAAGGGACCTTGGGGGGTCTTCTAGTCCAACCCCCTCTCAGGCAGGAGACCATGTATCATTTCAGACACATGGTTGCCCAATCTCTTCTTACAAACCTCCAGTGAGGGAGCACCCACAGCTTCTGGAGGCAAGCGATTCCACTGATCAATTGTTCTCAGGAAATTTCTCTTTAATTCTAGCTTGGTTCTCTCCTTGATTAGTTTCCATCTATTGCTTCTTGTTCTGCTTTGGGATTTGAAATCTCACCCCGAGTAACTGGAAGAATATGCCAGAAAGTATAGTAAACTACAGGTAGTCCTCAACTTACAATTCACAACCCTTAGTTTAGACACCATTTGAAATAACAACAGCATTGAAAAAAGTGACAAACGGTCCTGAGTCCTGACACTTAACAATCTTTGCAGTCACGCGGTCAAAATTTGGGCGCTTGGCAACCGGCTTGTGTTGATGATGGTTGCATTGTGCCACATGACCACCATTTGCAACTTCCCAGCTGGTTTCCAACAAGCAAAGTCAATAAGGGAAACTAGATTTGCTTAACGACTGTGTGATTCATGCAACAACTACAGCTATTCATCTAACAACTGTCACAAAAAGTTAAAAAAAGTGGGCGCTTAGCAACCCCTAAGAAATTCAAGAACCATCTGTAATTCCACACTGCTGCCAAGATCATGGGCTGTGGAATCACTGGGGAATTGAGTTCAACTGGAAGGAGACTTTATGATCAAAGTGTTATTTTTAAATTTCAACAGTAGGTACTTAATAATCATTGGAAGAGTCACAAACCCACCACCGCTTCCCACAGTCCTAAGACCCGCTGCTCAAATGAGAATCTCCAGTCAAACTTTGGGTAAACCAGAACAGCACCTGTCAAGGCACCACCCTGCCATGGGTGTGAGTGGGGAGCAGATTAAGGCTTTTCCCCAGCTGTTGAAAGAAAATGGGGTTTGCATCTAATGCTCACCAACGTGCTTAGCCTGATCATGCAGGATTGTTTACAAAAAGATGATTTATTTCTTACAGGTCATCCTTGACTTACAGCCACAGTTGAGCCCAAAATTTCTGTCGATGAGACATTCGTTACGTGAATTTTGCCCCAATTTACAACCTTCCTTGCCACTTGTTGTTTCACAACATTTCTTGTTATGAAACGAAGCACTGCAGTTGTTAAATTAACAAAGAGGCTTGCAAAGTGACTCTGGCTTCCCCTTTGACTTTGCTTGCAAAAGGGGATCACATGACCTGGGACCCTGCAACGGTCATAAAAATGAGTCGGTTGCCAAGCATCTGAATTTTTAACATGTGACCCTGGGGATGCTGTGACGATTGTAAATGTGAAAAAAGTCATAACTCCCTTTTTTAAATGCCGTTGTAGCTATGAATAGATACTGCTTGATGGATCTTCATTCCCTAAAACAGTGGTTCTCAACCTGTGGGTCGGGACCCCATTTGGGGTCGAACGACCATTTCACGGGGGTCGCCAAACAATGCAGTCCGCCATTTTTCCCCCTTTTCCTTAGCTGTGCTACTCCCTTTTATTCTATTGGCTTTTGAAAGCCAATAGAATAGACTCTCTTGAATAAAGTCTAATTCTATTGGCTTTCAAAAGCCAATAGGAATTGTCCAGGCTGTCTTTGTCCTGTTGAGCCCACCAAAAGTCCCATTCTGCAAACGGTGCTGCACCAGTTGAGTAGTCCTCGACTTACGACCGGCTGAGTAGTCCTCAACTTATGACCGGTTGGGGGTCGCGGCATTAAAAAGGTTGAGAACCACTGCCCTACATAGTAGAGACGATCCTCAAAGGTTTAAATCAGTGCTCTTCACACTTGACAACTTTAAGATGTGTGGACTTTAATTCCCAGAATTCTTCAGCCAGCACACTTTTAGGTTCAGCTCCCAGAATTCGTGCCAGCTGGGGAATTGTGGGAGTTGAAACCAACACATCTTAAAAGTTGTCACATTTGAAACACACTGGCTTAAATGATATACTAGGATGTGTCAAGGACTCACACCTATCTTCTGGAAATCTTTTCCAAGCTGAGGTGGCGAACGCCTCTCTGTGTGTTCAAAATGTCTCTCTTAGCCACTAGCACAGTGGTTCTCAACCTGTGGGTCGGGACCCCATTTGGGGTCGAACGACCATTTCACGGGGGTCGCCAAACAATGCAGTCCACCATTTTTTCCCCCTTTTCCTTAGCTGTGCTACTCCCTTTTATTCTATGGGCTTTTGAAAGCCAATAGAATATACGCTCTTGAATAGAGTCTAATTCTATTGGCTTTCAAAAGCCAATAGGGATTGTCCAGGCTGTCTCTGCCCTGCTGAGCCCGCCAAAAGTCCCATTCTGCAAACGGTGCTGCACCAGTTGAGTAGTCCTCGACTTACGACCGGTTGGGGGTCGCGGTATTAAAAAGGTTGAGAACCACTGCACTAGCACATGGGTCCAACAGGTGATTTCGGAGGTGTGACCGATGGAAACTAAAGTTGGCAACACCCATCCCAAGGAAAGCATCACACACTTTTCCTAACTTTAAGGGATGACTGTTGATAGATTAGGAGGATTAGAAAATCAATAAATTTATAATAATAATAATAATAATAATAATAATAATAATAATAATAATAATAATAACAACAACAACAGTAATAATAATAATAATAATAATAATAATAATAATAATAATAATAATAATAATAGTAAAGAAAATCCCCTGGTTGGACTCCATTGAATGGTGACCTTGGAGAAAGACCACAGCACGCAGAACTGACATCAGAGAAAACCTAGATAAGAACTCGTGAGAGTGGGAAGTGAGAAGGGCTCCTGTTTTGATGTGCCCAAGGTCCTGGATTAATTTGGTGCAATGTTATCTTTCTTATTGGACTTCCCTGTTCATCCAAGTCAGTGTTGACAACTTTAAGAGGAGTAAACTCCAACTTTTGTGATTTACACAATAAGTACGGTAGGGGAAGATGTGTGTTAATTTCTGGCACAGGTGGTCCTCGATTTACAACAGTCCATTTGGCGACTGTTCAAAGTTACAGCTGCACTGAAAAAAAGTGACTTATGATTTTCACACTTATCACCGTCGCAGCGTACCCACGGTCACGTGATCGGAATTCAGACGCTTGGGCAGCCGACTCACATTTATGACGGTGGCAGCGTTCCCAGAGTCACGCAATCCCTTTTTGCGACCTGACAAGCAAAGTCAGTGGGGGGGGGGACAGATTCACTTAGCAACCGGGTTACTAAGAACTGCGGCGATTGATTTGGCAAGAAAGATTGCAAAATGGGACAAAAGTCACTTCACAATTGTCTCGCTTAGCAATGGAAATTTGGAGCTCCACCGTCATAAGTCGAGGGCTACCTGTACCAGGTTGTAATATTTGCACCCTGTGCTAAATCTGGTTACTTGTAACACTTTTTTTTCCTTCCCCTTCGTGGCTTGCAGGCCAGAAACGGTTGCATAAACGCATAAAACGCTTCCAGCCAACCTCCGTCGGGAACTTTCTGAAGCTAGGCGCTGAAGGCTTCCGCCATTGGAAAGCAGCTGCGATCCAGCTGCTTTCTCCAAACCTGCGATCCTAAAGGCTCAGGATAGGAGAAGCTGGGGAGGAGGTGGGGGTGGGTGGGCGGGAGCGAAGGCTCACAGGGTCATCTGGCGTCGCCCTCCCCTCGCCCGGCTGCGCTCTCCAAGGGCGCGCCCTCCCCTTTCGTCTCCCTGCGAGGTGCTTCCCCTTCACACGTGCGCTCGGCCCGCCTCCCATCTCCGCCCGAAGCTGGCGAGCAAAGCCGCGCCAGCAATCGCGCCACGCTTCCTCGTCCTGCCCGGCTGTCCCGGGGGCTCCCGCGACTGCCAGCCAGACCCCGCGACGCGCGTCACTCCGGCCCGGAACCAGCGCGGGGCGTCGTGGGGATGCGGGCGCGCGCCGCGTCGCGGGGGACAAAGTGGGAACGCGGCGGTGGCGGCGGTGGCGGCGGACACAGGCTGTAGAGCAAGAGAGGCGCTGGCCGCTCCCACCCAGCCACCCCACGCGCAACTTTCTTCGCCCGTGGAGAAGTGCCGAGCCCGGAGCTCGGCCAGCCGGAAAGTCGCTGCAGCTGGGGCGCAGCTGGAGCCGCCTGCCTGCCTGCCTGCCTGCCTGCCTGCCTGCCCGCCCGCCCCGGAGCGAGGGACCAGCCGGCGCCGGGCTTGCCCGAAAGCAGCCGCGCCGGACGGGACGGCGCGCGGTGGAGGAGCTGCGCCCGCTTCGCCCTGCAGGTAACCGGAGGGAGCCGGGCTGGGACTGACCGGGAAGGGGGGTGGTGGTTCGGGGGGGGGAGGCGAGGAAGGAGGGGGCTCCTCGCGGTCCGTGGGGGGGGCTCCAGTCGCTTAATCAAGTGGGGAAGTGGGCTCGGGGGGGGGGAGTCCGCGCAGTTGGCCAAGTTGGGTCAACTTGAACCTCGGCTAGTTCGGGCTGCTTGAGCGCGGCGGTGCAGGAGGCCGTGGGAACCCGGCCCGTTGGCTTCCCTTCCCCCGACTCTGGGTCCTGGGAAGCGTGGGAAAGCGCGCGGGGCTGGCTTTTTTTCGCTCCTAACCCGGGCGTCGTCGGGCTGCTTCCCTTTTGGCTTGTTGCTTCGGAAGAGGAGTCGCCGCCGCTGGGCCAAGAAAGGCGTTTGCCTGTTGGGTTTCCGCGCGTCGCCTCTTCGTTCAGGCCCCCGCTGGAAGGAGCGAGTTGAGACTCTCTGAAGGGCCCCGGCCCTGAGCCTCCGTGCTCCATCTGGACGTCGCCTTATTTATTTTTCTTCCGAGGGGCACCCAGTCAAGCCAAAGACCCCGGTGCTTTGTTAGAACTGTGGCGTTGTTGAATGGTTGCTGCTGTTGTGCCTGTGTGGAGTATTACTTGTGCAGTACAGGTAGTCCTCGACTTACGACCGTTCATTTAGTGACCGTTCCTAGTTAACAACGGCACTGAAAAAAATGTGTCTTATGACCGTTTTTTTTTCACACCGACGACTTTTGCAGCATCCCCCTGGTCACGTGATCAAAAAATTCAGATGCTTGGCCACTTATTTATGATGGTTTGCAGTGTCCTGGGATCGTGAGATCCCGTTTTGCAGCCTTCTGACAAACAAAGTCAATGGGGAAGCCAGATCCACTTAACAACTGGGTCACTAACTTATCAACTGCAGTGATTCACTTAGCAACTGGGGCAAGGAAAGTCATAAAATGGGGTAAAATCCACTTAACATCTGTGGCGAGAAAGGTGGTAAAATGGGGCAAAACTCACTCAACAAATGTCTACGTTAACAACAGACATTTTGGGCTCAATTGTGGTCGTAAGTCGAGGACTGCCTGTATTATGATGGTGAGGAGTGTTGGGGAAGGTCTCTCTTCCACTTGGCATCAGTGAGCCCCCAAAAAGTGGCTTTCTACAGTCCAGAGCAGTTTTTCAGCAACCTTAGCAACCTGCTGACTTAGGAATTCTGGGAGTTGAAGTCCACAAGTCTTAAAGTGGCCATGGTTGGGGACCCTGGTCTAGTGCATTATCTAACGTGGCCTTTCTGGATAAGTTTTGATCTGTTCCCTCCCCCAATCCCCTGTCCCGATGATCAGTGACTACAAGCAATTATCTTACATGGGGTGCATAATTTCTGGCCAATAGCTCCACTAGCTTTTAAATACGAATTCAAAATAGTTTTAATTTGTGAGTACAGTAAGCAGGATGAGCGTGAATTAGAATTTGGGTGGGGGGCCACTTGGGAATTTCGGGGCTAGACTGGGAATGTGGAAGAGCATGGCAAATCACTTCACTCCCCTGGCCAAGAAAATGGGATTGATGTTAAGTCAATAGGAATTGGACTCGGTTTAGGGGAATCTTTATTATTTAATCTATGCCAATGTTGAATTATTTTTTTTAAAAAAATATTTTGGTTGTTTATCATTGCCGGTAATAAAACGTTATTGCTTTTGCTTATGTAAAGGTTCAAAATCATCTCGGGACATGGGTTTGTTCTAGTAGAGACTTGAAAACGAGAATGCAAATCTTTTAATCACACCAAATATTTGCATGTTTAGGCAGAGTAGTTCCTGCTGTATTCAGCGGGACTTACTCTCATGTAAATGCGGAGAACTTGCAGCCTAAATAAAATGCTTAACATGAGTAAGGAGATACTTCCCTCCCAGGAAATCTCATTGTTGGAAAGGGCAGGATAGGGTCTTGGTAGGTCATCTTTTGCCATGTTATCGAAAGCAATTATTTTCAGACAGCAGGCGTGCATTTAATTAAAAATAGCCTTTCTCTAGCTTTCTGTTAGCTTATAAAAAAGAATGTCTTATCCCTCTAGAAAAGGGATCATACCGAAAACGAAGTGCATGTCCAGTAAACGTTGGTTGTTTAATTCATCTTTAACGCATAAGCCACAGTTGGTTGAGTTCTAAGCCAAAATAAAACATTATGCTTCCCTCTTGCAAGTTGCTTTGGAAGAGGAGTTGCTACTAACATTCAAACACATTTCAGATGAGTTGCTGCTCAGCCAAGAAAGAGTTGCCTGTTATGTCTCTGCATGTTGCCTCTTTGCTCCAAAGGGACAATTATGATTTAGTGGGTCAAATGAATCAGATCATAAGCACCTCCAATGCTCCCATCACACCATCAAGGTTGCCTTAGTTTCTTGAAGGGTGATTGGCTTTGGGTATGGACAAACACAATCTTTAAATCATATTTCATAAACCACAACGATCAAGTTCCCACAATGGTATAGGTTCTCCTGCTTGAGCAAGGGGCTGGACTAGAAGACCTCCAAGGTCCCTTCCAGCTCTATTCTATTCACAAGATACTGAAATCTTAACTTTAGGTTAACAAAACACAATGGCATGCTATACTACGTCCAACAAAATAAACCAGAAAATGCGCTGTGAAATTCCTACAAGGGTGTCACAAAGAGGAGAACCTTATTTTGAGTTAATACAGAACAAGCAACATAACAGAATAACAGAGTTGGAAGGGACCTTGGAGGTCTTCTAGTCCAGCCCCCTGCTCAAGCAAGAGACCTTAGAGTCTAGTCTACCCCCCTGCTCAAGCAGGAGACACTGGACCAGGAGCCCCCAACCCTTTGGGCATCAGGGACCAGTTCCGTGGACAAAGGTTTTTCCAAGGACTGAAGGGAGCGTGGTTTTGTGTGCTGCCTGCATCCCGCGGATGGGGCTTTGCTTGTTTGTGTGGACCAGTTTGTGGCATACCGCGGACCAGTGCTGGTCAACAGACCAGGGGTTGAGGACCCCTGCCCTAGACCTTTTCAGACAACTGTCTGTCCAGTCTCTTCTTAAAAGCCTCCAGTGATGGAGCACCCACCACTTCTGAAGGCAGGCTGTTCCACCTGTTAATTGTTCTGACTGTCAGGAAGTTTCTCCTTGTTTCTAAGTTGCTTCTCTCCTTGATTAGTTTCCATCCATTGTTTCTTGTCTTGCCTTCTGGGGCTTTGGAGAATAGGTTGTCTTTGTAGCAGCTCTTCAGATATTGGAAGACTGCTATCCCGTGACCCCTAGTCCTTCTTTTCACTAGACTAGACACACCCAATTCCTGAAACCCTTCTTCATATGTTTTGACCTCCAGCCCCCTAATCATGACATGAAGCCAAGTCTCTCCCAGTGCTTCCACTCCTACCAGGCCCTAGAAAGTAATAGGTGACCCAGGAGAAGTTAATTTATGGACATATCTTTGGATATTGGTGCATAGGATTAGATTCTTGGCATGATTTAAAGCCAATATTACAGCCAGTGTAGTCTAGTGCAGAGGTCCCCAACCTTTTGGGCACCGGGGACCGGTTCCATGGAGAGAGGTTTTTCTGTGGACCGGAGGGGCGTGGTTTTGTGTGCTGCCTGCATCCCACGGATGGGGCTGTGCGGACTGGTTGCTGGCTTGCCATGGCCCGGTACCAGTCCACGGACTAGGGGTTGAGGACCCCTGGCGTAGTGGTTAAGGCACAGGCCAGAAAGTGAGAGGCGGTGAGTTCTAGTCCTGCCTTAGACATGAAAGCCATCTAGGTGACCTTTGGCCAGTCACTCTTCCTCAGCCCAACCCACCTCATAAGGTTGTTATGGTGGGGAAAATAGGAGGAGGAAATTGTGTTGGGTAAGTTCCCTGCTTTGGGCTATTTGTAAAAAGAACAAAGGGGAGAAACAAATAAAATAAAATAAAGATAAATAGCCTCCATGTGTTACGTTCAAGTCTTTCATTAGCAACGAGTAGACAGCCGAGGTTATTTAGGACAGTTTCGTAGTGGTTTACTAAACGACCGTGCCAAAAATGGTCATAAAATCATAAAACTCACTTAAGCAACTCACTTAACAATGAATGTATTAGTCCCAATTGTGGGACTATCTGTACTATGGAGAGAGAGAATAACTGTTTAAAAAATATGTCCTATCCTGTTATTTCTGAGTTATCCTCCTCTGCTGATTGGCAGAGGGGAAAAAAAAATTTCCTCTGCAAATTAATTTCTCTTTTAGTTTTCCAGTTTTGGAGGTGATCTGAAACTATCATTAGTTTTCTTTCTTTTTTTTTTTTAAAAGGGAAACTTCTGAAATCCCTTTCTTTCTTTTTAAAATATGTTTTATTGATTTTTAACATAATCATCTTAATATTTGGTAAACAGTGTGTTGTCTGGGTTTATATTTAAAAAAACAATCAATAACAATTAATTTCTATAATTCTATAGTCCACATAATGGCTTTGCTTGATTTTTCTCTTCTTCCAATAATATTCTTTTTTGCCAACCTTAAATTAATACAGTTCTTATTATTTGAATAAATGACAATTAAATATAGACATTTTTCTAATGTTTCTGCAAATGATAACCACATCAATATAAAGCTTCTTTTCTAATTGATCATCTTGATTGCCTCATCATAGATCCTGTTTACAAAATTCTTACTTAAATTTCTTTTCCTCACAATATTCAAAACTTTCCCAAAATTAGTTACACTTAAGTATTTAAGTCTTTTTTTATACAAGCCATCCCAAAACTTTTACATTTCTCATACTTTAAAAGAAAGAAAAAAACCCCAGAGAAAGCATTTCTTTTATATAAACCATCCCAACATTTTTATATTTCTCATGTCAAAAAACAAAACAGAAAGAAAAAAAATACTATGTTACTTGAAGGGTTCATCCCTCTTAAACTAACCTTCAGTCTAAAATCTCTCTATTTCTTTAACCATATTCAAACAGATGTTTAATTTTTAAATATTCCCTCAGGTAAATCCCACTGTCTAATTTC